TTTGTGGTTACAGGAAAGTGGGTGCGGGAGGGAAGAGGAGCGATTGGTGGAATGATGATGTGAAGAGAGTAGTAAGGGAGAAAAAGTTAGCATATGAGAAGTTTTTACAAAGTAGAAGTGATGCAAGGAGGGAAGAGTATATGGAGAAAAAGAGAGAGGTTAAGAGAGTGGTGAAGCAATGTAAAAAGAGAGCAAATGAGAGAGTGGGTGAGATGTTATCAACAAATTTTGTTTGAAAATAAGAAAAAGTTTTGGAGTGAGATTAACAAGTTAAGAAAGCCTAGAGAACAAATGGATTTGTCAGTTAAAAATAGGAGAGGAGAGTTATTAAATGGAGAGTTAGAGGTATTGGGAAGATGGAGGGAATATTTTGAGGAATTGTTAAATGTTGATGAAGATAGGGAAGCTGTGATTTCGTGTATAGGGCAAGGAGGAATAACATCTTGTAGGAGTGAGGAAGAGCCAGTTGTGAATGTGGGGGAAGTTCGTGAGGCAGTAGGTAAAATGAAAGGGGGTAAGGCAGCCGGGATTGATGGGATAAAGATAGAAATGTTAAAAGCAGGTGGGGATATAGTTTTGGAGTGGTTGGTGCAATTATTTAATAAATGTATGGAAGAGGGTAAGGTACCTAGGGATTGGCAGAGAGCATGCATAGTTCCTTTGTATAAAGGCAAAGGGGATAAAAGAGAGTGCAAAAATTATAGGGAGATAAGTCTGTTGAGTATACCTGGTAAAGTGTATGGTAGAGTTATTATTGAAAGAATTAAGAGTAAGACGGAGAATAGGAGGCTTTAGGAAAGGTAGGGGGTGTGTGGACCAGGTGTTTACAGTGAAACATATAAGTGAACAGTATTTAGATAAGGCTAAAGAGGTCTTTGTGGCATTTATGGATTTGGAAAAGGCGTATGACAGGGTGGATAGGGGGGCAATGTGGCAGATGTTGCAGGTGTATGGTGTAGGAGGTAGGTTACTGAAAGCAGTGAAGAGTTTTTACGAGGATAGTGAGGCTCAAGTTAGAGTATGTAGGAAAGAGGGAAATTATTTCCCAGTAAAAGTAGGCCTTAGACAAGGATGTGTGATGTCACCGTGGTTGTTTAATATATTTATAGATGGGGTTGTAAGAGAAGTAAATGCGAGGGTCTTGGCAAGAGGCGTGGAGTTAAAAGATAAAGAAACACACACAAAGTGGGAGTTGTCACAGCTGCTCTTTACTGATGACACTGTGCTCTTGGGAGATTCTGAAGAGAAGTTGCAGAGATTGGTGGATGAATTTGGTAGGGTGTGCAAAAGAAGAAAATTAAAGGTGAATACAGGAAAGAGTAAGGTTATGAGGATAACAAAAAGATTAGGTGATGAAAGATTGGATATCAGATTGGAGGGAGAGAGTATGGAGGAGGTTAATGTATTCAGATATTTGGGAGTGGATGTGTCAGCGGATGGGTCTATGAAAGATGAGGTGAATCATAGAATTGATGAGGGGAAAAGGGTGAGTGGTGCACTTAGGATTCTGTGGAGACAAAGAACTTTGTCCTTGGAGGCAAAGAGGGGAATGTATGAGAGTATAGTTTTACCAACACTCTATATGGGTGTGAAGCATGGGTGATGAATGTTGCAGCGAGGAGAAGGCTGGAGGCAGTGGAGATGTCATGTTTGAGGGCAATGTGTGGTGTGAACGTAATGCAGAGAATTCGTAGTTTGGAAGTTAGGAGGAGGTGCAGGATTACCAAAACTGTTGTCCAGAGGGCTGAGGAAGGGTTGTTGAGGTGGTTTGGACATGTAGAGAGAATGGAGCGAAACAGAATGACTTCAAGAGTGTATCAGTCTGTAGTGGAAGGAAGGCGGGGTAGGGGTCGTCCTAGGAAAGGTTAGAGGGAGGGGGTAAAGGAGGTTTTGTGTGCGAGGGGCTTGGACTTCCAGCAGGCATGCGTGAGCGTGTTTGATAGGAGTGAATGGAGACAAATGGTTTTTAATACTTGACGTGCTGTTGGAGTGTGAGCAAAGTAACATTTATAAAGGGGTTCAGGGAAACCGGCAGGCTGGACTTGAGTCCTGGAGATGGGAAGTACAGTGCCTGCACTCTGAAGGAGGGGTGTTAATGTTGCAGTTTAAAAACTGTAGTGTAAAGCACCCTTCTGGCAAGACAGTGATGGAGTGAATGATGGTGAAAGTTTTTCTTTTTCGGGCCACCCTGCCTTGGTGGGAATCGGCCAGTGTGATAATAAAAAAAATAAATAAAAATAAAACTCCATAACAAAATTGCCTGCTAATACTTTGAAGAAAACTGCTCAGATGAGGTATTTTGTCTTTGCACATAAAAAAAACTTCCACAAAAATGCGCACACACTGGTTTTATGTGTGAGGAATGTAAAACACCACTGTGTATGACACCATGTTTTATGTGTGAGGAGTGTAAAACACCATTGTGTATGACACCATGTTTCAAAGAGTTACACAAGCTGCAGAACTTCTAGGAATATGTCCAGTGACTGTATATTGGTATATATATTATAGAACAATAGTAATAAACAATTTTTTGTATTGTTTGTTTTTGTAAACAAGTTTTGTAAACAATATATTGATAATTATGTTTGTGTGCTTATTGTGTTGTATACAACGAGTGTATATATGTACATTGCACCTTACTTTGGTCTCATAGGCCACATAAGTTATGTGAAAAAATAAAATAGTGAAAAAACAACAAACCTTCAAATACAAGTAAACCAAAGTTTACCGGTGAGCGGCAGTCACCGCTGTTGCCATACGTGGCTCATTTTCTGCAAACTTCATGCCTCTATATCTGGGTAAGTACTGATGGGAATTTTTTTTTTTTGGGACTAAAACAATCAGAAATATAATCTTAACAATTTCATAAGAAAAAATAATTTTTTTTTTTTCGAATATTTTGCCACACCCGGAGACACTTCAGGATTGGGCCTTTTGACAGTCAAAGGGTTAAGACTACAAATATTTTAAGGCAAGTAATGAGTGTACTGTATATGCATTTTATTACTCTAGGGCACTTTAAATGCCTAGTACATAATATAATGTTCACTCAAAGAGAAAGAAAGCCAGACTGACTCACGACGGCTGCGCAGGGAGCCGTGCAGGCATGGGCAGGTGTATAGGTCTGGTACGCAGGACAAAACACAGAGCACAGTGCGAAATGCATGACAAAATTTACCCTAAAAAACAGTTCTAAACTTGAAGTGTACAATACTTAGGGCGTATGAAACGCGGGGTTCCACTGTATAATAATAATAATAATATAATGCATATAATATGTATAATAATAATTTTTTTTTTTCAACAAGTCGGCCGTCTCCCACCGAGGCAGAGTGATCCAAAAAAGAAAGAAAATCCCCAAAAAGAAAATACTTTCATCATCATTCAACACTTTCACCACACTCACACATTATCACTGTTTTTGAAGAGGTGCTCAGAATACAACAGTTTAGAAGCATACACATATAAAGATACACAACATATCCCTCCAAACTGCAAATATCCCAAAACCCTCCTTTAAAGTGCAGGCATTGTACTTCCCATTTCCAGGACTCAAGTCCGACTATATGAAAATAACCGGTTTCCCTGAATCCCTTCACTAAATATTACCCTGCTCACACTCCAACAGATCGTCAGGTCCCAAGTACCATTCGTCTCCATTCACTCCTATCTAACACGCTCACACACGCTTGCTGGAAGTCCAAGCCCCTTGCCCACAAAACCTCCTTTACCCCCTCTCTCCAACCCTTTCGAGGACGACCCCTACCCCTCCTTCCTTCCCCTATAGATTTATATGCTTTCCATGTCATTCTACTTTGATCCATTCTCTCTAAATGACCAAACCACCTCAACAACCCCTCTTCTGCCCTCTGACTAATACTTTTATTAACTCCACACCTTTTCCTAATTTCCACACTCCGAATTTTCTGCATAATATTTACACCACACATTGCCCTTAAGCAGGATGGCTTTGAAAGGCTGTCACTAGATGGAAGTGAATACCACAACAATGTGGAAGTGGTTATGGCTGCCTCCACCTGTCACATCATGATATATTTTATTCATTCTAAAGTACATATCAGGTTTCTATGTTATTTATATTGTTTATTATGTCATATTAGATGAATTTTGATAGAAAAATAAGCTGTAGAGTTGATATTAGCGAAATATTGAAGGAGTATTCTGTCTTGTTTCCAAACAAACTCTCGTTCACCATCGACACCACTATGTAGTCACATACATAATGACATATTTTATTCATTCTAGAGTATATATCAGGTTTCTATGTTTTTTATACTGTTTATTATCTCATATTAGATGAATTTTGATAGATAAATAATCTGTAGAGTTGATATTAGGGAAATAATGGAGTATACACAAATAACCCGCACATAAAAGAGAGAAGCTTACGACGACGTTTCGGTCCGACTTGGACCATTGACAAAGTCACACAGTGTGACTGTCAATGGTCGGACCGAAACGTCGTCGTAAGCTTCTCTCTTTTATGTGCGGGTTATTTGTCTATCGTTCCAGTCACGGTATTGTGCCTTTTTGTTATTTATTTATAAATAATGGAGTATTTTATCATGCTTGGAATTCCACCAGAACTGATTAATTCCATTTCAGTTAATTTAAATGAGGAAAATTAACTCAACAAACAAACAAATTGAGATGTGAGCAAGGTCATGGAACAGATTAAACTCATAAGTATAGGTTCCACTGTATTAAAAAAGCAAGGAAATGACTGCCAACAATTGCAATTAGAGGTCAGATACATGACCATACCATATAGCTTGTACGTGGATCCTTCAGCCCTGAACAAGTAACTTTTTTTTTAATTTGGAGTTAGTAAGTAGAAGCATTCAAGTACTAATTCAAAATAAAAAGAGGAACAAAGATCAGAAAATGTCAGTTTAATATTAATATTTTATCAATTAACAGATAATGAGTAGATTTTACGAAAGTTAAGGATGCAAATATTGTCAAGAATGTCTTGCCTTTTACTTCAGATGGGCAAGCGTGATCTAGAAGCGTAATCAATTGAGATATGTCATCATAAAGATTTTCCATCACTTCTTCTTCACAACCTTCTGCCTGTAAAAAATATTGAACAATTTTAAATCTTACGTGAAAAATAAAGGTATATAGTAGTATCTGACTGACAGAAAGGTACAACAGATGAATGGAATAAAACATAATCAATTACAAAGGTGTAAGCTCTGGATAAATTTGTGAAAACAAAATATTTTGTCAAGAATATTACATAATAACAGAGGCTCATAGAATGGAGGAGATTCAAACCGGTGGCAAGCCAGTCCCGAAACTTGCCGGCCAGTGCCTTACCATTGTACCATTAATTAGCATGCTGGCCAGCTAGTTATTAGGACTGGCTCACCATGAATTCAAACCCCATCCTTTCTGTGGGTTGCTTATTATCATGTTAATATGATTTTACAAATCAACATAGAGATGATAGAAAATGATAAATGAATAGTTATACTGCATGTAAAATATATGCAATGACTGAATGTAGAAGAAATTTGCTTCACTATGGCAAAACTGGGTATGTGTATGCAACATGCAGAATACTTACAATAACTTGTTTCTCCAGCAGTTTTATTGGATGAATGCGCTCTTGTATCTCTTCTTCCTTTCTTGGTTCTTCTCTTTTCACTTCTTCCTTCTTTACTTCTTCCTTTTTTGCTTCTTCCTTTTTTGCTTCTTCCTTTTTAACTTCATCCTTCTTTACTTCATCTTTCTTTATGTCATCTTTCTTCACCTCATCCTTCTTAACCTCATCTTTCTTTGCTTCTTTCTTCATATTCTCTTTTTTCCTTCTTTGCCTCTTCTTTCTTTACTTCTTCCTTCTTTATTTCTTCTTTTTTTACTTCTTCCTTCTTTACTTCCTCCTTTTTTACCTCTTCATTTTTAACTTCTTCCTTCTTTTCTTCAGCAGCCTCGACCCCCTCCTGTTTACCCTCCATCTCACTTTCTTTTTCTGTAGAGACCTTTTTATCCCCTTTGTGTTGTTCAGCTGGTTCTTCTTTAATGATCTTTTCCTTTTCTTTCTCTTTTTCTTTTTCCTCTTTTTTAATGATATCCTTTCTATCCTGGGAGTATTTTGAGAACTGCATTTCATACCCTCCTGGCTTCCACCCAAGGTAATTAGCCAACTCTGAGGCAGAAACAATCATTGTTCGTGACACTGAGCAATCGTCATTTATCAGAAGAAACTCGCAAAATTCTAATGCTCCCTGGAGTGATGTTAAGTATTCATGTGATTCCTTTCTGAATGTTGATGTGAGCCTTTTGAAAAGGCTAATGAGGCAAGCCTTTTTTTTCTCCATTACACTATAAGAGAAGGGAAAATTTGTGAACATTCATATAAAATCTATCACAATCTTACTGCTGACAGATGTTCTGTTGGTAGTATAAACCATATGAAAAGGAAATAAAGAAATGTGATTTATTGTGCATTAACAAGAGTGTATAAAGTATAAAGTAGGTTATGCTCCACTTGAGTCAAAAAAAAAAAAAAAACAAGAAATTATTTTAGAACTGTGCCTCTCAAATGGCAAATAATATAAAAAACAAGAGCCATCATCCCAGTTAAAATTAATACTATACTGTGTTAAAATTAAAAAAAAAAAAATTATTTCTCATTGGCTATACAAAGATTACAGCAGAGATATATCATACAAAATTTGATACAAAAGTAGGCACAAAAGAGAGCCACTAGCTATGCAATGCATTTTGGACAAACTAATCATAAGGTTTACATACTACTTAAATCTAGACCTAGCATATTATTTAACACAAACTGTGTAGCTCACTAAAATCACAAGGACCTTGAGACAGGTTGAGAATGACAAATGGTCAATTACAAGAGAATTACACAGTACTGTATTTACATTTTATGGAGTGACTAAATAAAGTGGTGAAATCAAAGCAGTTAATTTATATAACATTTATGAGAGATTTACTAGGTGCATTTTAACAATACTAGTAAAGGTGTTGGCTGATGGAGAATTTTTGGCCTTTTCAGACAATGAGTTCCAAATTTTTGGGCCTTTTATTTGTATGGAGTTTCTTAACAAGTCGAGATATACACGTGGAATGTCAAAGAGATAACATATTCCTTGTATTGTGTCCATATGTTGTTTTCTTGCCTCTCTCCAGACAGAATTTAAGCTCTGGGTTATTGTTTCATGTGAAATTCCTATAGATATTGCATGCACAATAGAAAGTGTGAATATTATGTATGTTAATCTGGAGATGGGAAGTACAGTGCCTGCACTCTGAAGTAGGGGTGTTAATGTTGCAGTTTAAAAACTGTAGTGTAAAGCACCCGTCTGGCAAGACAGTGATGGAGTGAATGATGGTGAAAGTTTTTCTTTTTCGGGCCACCCTGCCTTGGTGGGAATCGGCCAGTGTGATAATAATAATAAAAAATAATCAAATTTAAACTTCTGAATAAAGGGCATGTGTGTTGCCTGAAGCCTCAATGAGTAATTATTCCAAGAGCTGAGTTTTGCTGAATAACAAAAGATTTAAGATGATCAGCTATTGCTGATCCCTACACACAGATACCATAGGTGAGGTATGGATTGATTAAAGAGTAGAACAAAGTGAACAGGGATGTCTAGGGGACACAGTAATGTATTTTTGAGTAAATGCCCACTATTTTGGATTTTTTTTTTCTTATAGATGTTCTGGAAGTGTGTGCTGAATTTTAGGTTGTTGAATTGAACATTGTTAGCATTTATGGTAATGCATGCATTTGGATTGGTATTTGAATTAACAAAAGTTGTTTCATCTGCATACAGAATTGGTTTAAATATTGTGAAGCATCTGGAAGGTCAATGGTGAAGATAAGAGATAGCAGAGGGCCCATGACACTAACTTGTGGAATCCCAATGTTGAGTGATCACACTGCTAATGAGCAGTCATTAATGGTCACATGTTGATGTCTGTCACTCAAGTAAGATTTCATGCATGACAGACTAAGTTGTCTTATTCCATAATGTTCTAATTTCAGCAGCAAAATGGTGTGGTCTACCATCTCGAAGGCAATTTTTTAGACTGATAAAGAGGCCCACTAGGTATATATTATTTTCAAGAGTAGGCTGAGCCGAGCCTTTTTATAGTTACATCATCAGTACTTCATCCTGGCCTGAAGCCAAACTGATATGGGTTAAAGAAATTATGTTTGATTAAGAAATGTACAGTGGACCCTTGGTTATTGGCCATAATCTGTTCCAGAAAAAAAAAAAACATATCATGGGAGGGGATAGAACCCACCATCAGAGAGCTTCAAAACTCCAGAAGGTCGACCTAAAACCGAAATGGCCGAAAACCGAAATATTATTTCCCAAAAGAATTCATGTAAATACAATTAATCCATTCCAGACACCCAAAAATATTAACAAAAAATACATATTTTAAAGATTAACTATAGATTTACATACAAAAAAAATGAGAAAGAAAGTTTTACATACAAAAAACATTGAGAAAGAAATATAAAGCACTAATTTTACTAATAAATGAACATTACATACCTTTACTGAATACTCTTGTTGGCATACGGAAGAAGGCAAGGAGGGGTTACTTCCCTTCTTTGTCTTTTACTGCCACTAGGACCAGCTTGAGAGTCACTGCACCCCTGTCTCACAAAAAAACTGTCCACTCCCTACCTTCCTGCTATGCTCCCTGCATGCCTGCTACACTCCCTGCCTTCCTACTACACTCCTTGCATGCCTGCTACACTTCCTGCCTTCCTACTACACTCCCTGCATGCCTGCTACACTCCCTGCCTTCCTGTTACACTCCTTGCATGCCTGATGCACCCCTTGCCTCCATGCCTGCCTGCCTTGAATTCTATCGTGTTTCTCATTTTCTTTACCAAAAGAACTTTACTAGGAACTTTCTTTGGACCCATGGTTGCTTATTTCGCAGTCACACTCAATCAATTACCACAAAAAACAATGGATTATAGCGCAATGTTTGGATGAATGTGCAGAGGCTTTTCTCACCCAGAGACACAGCCAGACTGACTCACAAATGTGGCAAAGCGGTGGGTGGACACATCCAATACAGCTGATAACCGAAATAACCAGGATAGAATTTCAGCCAAAAAAGTGGGCGAAAACTGAATTGGCCAATATCTGGAACGGCCGATAACTGAGGGTCCACTGTACGTATATGTTCATATTTTTTCTTTCAGGGATTTTGGACAGTAGTGGAAAGTTTGAAACTGCTCTGCAATTACTGACTTCGGTTAAGTCACCACTTTTATTGACTGGTGTAACTTTTGCTAGTCTAAGTAAGTCAGAGAAAGTTTTGGCTTCAATTGATTTATTGAACATGTGAGAACACATGAGAAGTTTTCTTATTTTTTTTTTTTTAACAAGTTGGCCATCTCCCACTGAGGCAGGGTGACCCAAAAAGAAAGAAAAACCCCCAAAAGGAAAATACTTTCATCATCATTCAACACTTTCATCTCACTCATACATAATCACTGTTTTTGCAGAGGTGCTCAGAATATAACAGTTTAGAAGTATATACGTATAGATACACAACATATCCCTCCAAACTGCCAATATCCCAAACCCCTCCTTTAAAGTGCAGGCATTGTACTTCCCAAATATTTCCAGTACTCAAGTCCGGCTATATAAAAATAACCGGTTTCCCTGAATCCCTTCACTAAATATTACCCTGCTCACACTCCAACAGCTCGTCAGGTCCCAAATACCATTTGTCTCCATTCACTCCTAACGAACACATTCATGCATGCTTGCTGAAGTCCAAGCCCCTCACCCACAAAACCTCCTTTACCCCCTCCCTCCAACCTTTTTGAGGACAACCCCTACCCCGCCTTTCTTCCCCTACAGATTTATACACTCTCCGTGTCATTCTACTTTGATCCATTCTCTCTAAATGACCAAACCACCTCAACAACCCCTCTTCAGCCCTCTGACTAATACTTTTAGTACCTCCACACCTTCTCCTAATTTCCACACTCTGAATTCTCTGCATAATATTTACACCACACATTGCCCTCAGACAGGACATCTCCACCGCGTCCAACTGCCTCCTCGCTGCAGCATTTACAACCCAAGCTTCACACCCATATAAGAGTGTTGGTACCACTATACTTTCATACATTCCCTTCTTTGCCTCCATAGATAATGTTTTTGTCTCCACATATACCTCAATGCACCACTCACCATTTTTCCTTCATCAATTCTATGGTTAACCTCATATTTCATACATCCATGCGCTGACACGTCAACTCCCAAATACAGTGACCCCCGACATTCGATGGCATCGACATTCGATAAATCCGACATTTGATGCATTTTAACGCAAAAATTTTGCCTCGACATTCGATGCGATTCGTCTCGTTTCGTACGAGACGTGTCCACGTGTGGCCTGAACTGCACGGTGTGTGCCAGTGTTTACAAGCCAGCCAGTGTGCGCACATCTAAGCATACATTCGGTACATTCCATATTATCACTTTTTTTGGTGCTTGTTTCTGCAAAATAAGTAACCATGGGCCCCAAGAAAGCTTCTAGTGCCAAGCCTTCGAGAAAAAAGGCACTAATGACTATTGAAATGAAGAAAGAGATAATTGCAAAGGACGAAAGTGGAGTGCATGTGTCGGAGCTGGCCAGGTTGTATAGTAAACCCCAATCAACCATCTCTACTATAGTGAGCAGGAAAACGGCAATCAAGGAAGCTGTTGTTGCAAAAGGTGCAACTTTGTTTTCGAAACAGAGATCGCTAGTGTTAGAAGATGTTGAGAGACTGTTACTGGTGTGGATAAATGAAAAACAGATAGCAGGAGATAGCATCTCTCAAGCGATCATTTGTGAAAAGGCTAGGCAGTTGCATGATGATTTGGTAAAGAAATTGCCTGCAACTAGTGCTGATGTGAGTGACTTTAAGGCCAGCAAAGGTTGGTTTGAAAGATTTAAGAATCATAGTGGCATACATAGTGTGATAAGGCATGCTGAGGCTGCCAGTTCGGACCACAAAGCGGCTGAAAAATATGTGCATGAATTCAAGGAGTACATAGAGGCTGAAGGATTGAAACCTGAACAAGTGTTTAACTGTGACGAAACAGGCCTGTTTTGGAAGAAATTGCCAAGCAGGACCTACATTACTCAGGAGGAAAAGGCACTCCCAGGACTTAAGCCTATGAAAAACAGGCTTACTCATGTGGTAAATTTTTTTTTTTTCATACTTTTGGGTGTCTTGCACAGATTAATTTGATTTCCATTATTTCTTATGGGGAAAATTAATTCGACTTTCGATATTTTCGACATTCGATAACTCTCAGGAACGGATT